AAGTTCATCGAAGTTACGTTATCACGGCAACATCAAGCAAGCTAGTGCGTGGCATCTGGCTTGCAGCAGCAGATTTACAAATTTACAAAGTAATAATGACAGAAATGTGGAGGAAATATGTCAAAGAAACGCATTTCGAATTCGTCGGCTCATGAGAGACTTTTATCTTCACGACCTCAGAGTGCACCTGAACATTTGAACACCTAACGTAGCCATATACTTTAGTCTTATTTTGATCTTGTTTTCTTTGTGTAATGGATGTGGAGAACTATTCAATAACTGTTCATAATATAATTATTTCCTTGTGGTTTGTGTAACAAGATTTTGGAGTTAATAGAATCACATTTGACATAAACACAGTGACTCGGGTTCATGCAAGCTGACCAAATCTACATTGTTATCAGAGGTGTCAAGTAATGAAGAACAAATACTTTGTTACTGTACATAAGTTAACTTTTTAGGTATCTATACTTTCCTCCATTACTTATTTTTCCAACTTCTGACTTCTACTCATTACATTTTCACTCAAGTATCTGTACTTTCTATTCCTTACATTTTTAAAACAAATGTTACTCGTTACTCTTGGCTTCGGTTTTAAATTTATAAATATTAATTTAACGTCATGTGCGCCATCCAATGCTCCATCCACATCTAGTGAAAACTAGTGTAATTGGGTGAGTTATATAACGCAAACACTCATTGGTTAGCTAAAGGAAATCATCAGAAGCAAGCAGGTGTTCTTCAAACTTCAAACGTGAATTGTCTATGTGAGGGGTCCCCAACGCGGTGCCCCAAGGGGCCCTCAAGGAACACACGGGGTGCCCTCAACGCCTTCTGAAAACAGTAACTCAGCAGTGGGCTAAGTTTGAAATTTTATTTTATTCTGTGACTCTTCTTTTTAATCATTTATAGAGCATTTCATCATAGTAATCATATAGGGTATTTTAGCATTTATAGAGATTTTAAAATTATAATGTTTAAAGGAAAATTAGAAATTAAAAGTTAACAATAAAAATGTGTTTATTATGGATGAAGTTTAGGTGAACGCTGACCCCTCTTGTTCATAGGTCAGTATTGGTAGCCCTTCCTATGATTTACAACAAGACCTCCCTCATTCTTGGCCCTATCTCAAAGATTTTTTCTAAATAGTCGAAAAATTGAGCTTTCAATTCATATAGTGGTGTCTGGCTGTTTTTTTTTTTTAAGTTTACTTTATACATTTATACTTTAAGTAGATTTTGGAGCACATACTTTTTCCACTTTTACTTGAGTAAAGAAGCCAGGTTGATACTTCAACTTTTACCTGAGTGTTTTTAAACTGCAGTATCTATACTTCTACTTAAGTAACAAATATGTGTACTTTTGACACAACTGATTGTTATAGTGTTATAATGAAGTTTAATTAATAGCATATATATATATATTCTCCTGAGAACTGATGTCTGTGTTAAAGACCCTGGTTGCGTGCACTGAAGTGTATATGACAATAAAGTAGTGAATCTAAATCTATTTACTTATTTATTTTTAGTGTAGTTTAAATAGGCCTATAGGCTCATGTGTCTTTTGTCCAGAAACAAAAACAAAAAATTCACAGCACCCCCTGTTCAAAAGTACTTCCAGCAGAGCCGTCTAGATGCACTCAAGACAACTTGCTGAGGTTCAAACTGAGGATCAATATGGATAGAAAGCAAAAATGGCTTTAAATGTGGCACAGCATTCTTCCTGGCTTTAAATCTATGCCATGCAGAATGGAGGTAGTTCTGAAAGCAGAATGGGGTCCAATCCAACACTAATGAAATAGCCAGTGAGAGCATCTTTCATTTCTAAACTTGTACCTGTATCTTTTTAAAAGAGGGTCTGCCATCATTTCTCGCACAAGCATTCCATCTGTGAGAAACTGAAAGCATAAATGCTTTAGTACAGACTGAAGGACACCACACAAGAAGGCTGAGCCCATCCTCCTCTTGCTACCTTAATCCTGGTGGCTTGGGGGTCAGAGCAGTCATCGAACCGGATGGTGTAGCCCACCTCGTGTCCCAGCAGGGCACCTCGCTCCTCCGCAACACGGTTAGCAACCTATCAGCAAGAAGGGGAAAAAATGGGGACAAAGAAGTATATTTGAAGCAGGGCACGTGTCCTATGATGTGAACCAAATTTGCCTGCAGTCAGATGACATTGGCAAAAAAGTGGGAGGACATCGGCTGAGCTCTTACCGAGATAGCAGCCACACGTCGAGGCTGCGTCACTCCAATCACTTTCCCCTCCGCGGCCCAGCCAGCCTCCAGCAGGTACTGATTGAAGGCAAAAGAAAAGAACAAAGCAGGAATGAAAGATTCTGCATAAATTAAATTTTAGCTGATGAGGACCGAACTCTGCTCAATAAAGGGGGAACGGGTTGCTAAGCATCTATGCAAGGTCATATTGAACCACTGTGGAAGAAAATGTTTCTGAATGCACCTTAATGCAAAGCAGGACTAATTATTTAAAGGTTTGGCAGAAACTAACCTGAGGGATCTGTGTTGTCTTTCCACATCCGGTCTCCCCAACTATAATAACAGTCTGGAAGCTTTCAACCAAGTATAATATGTTGTTTCTGTGCTGCATTGGAGATAAATAAGAAAAAAACAGATATCAAAGACAGATGTTCATGGAATAATGCAGCTAATGCGCTGAAAGGTGTGTGGAAGCAGAGTGAAACCTTAAAAACTGGAAGCTTTTGCCGCTGCTTCTCTATAGAGAGGGCTGTGTTTGGATTGAAGATGATGGGGGATCCGGTGGTCTCAGAGCTCAGATCCCGTTCCTCTGAGATCCCCGGAGCCTCAGACCCTGGAGCAGAGCAGATGGCGAAGAGGAGGAGATGTTTTATTAAAATGAAGATTTTCACTGATTAACAGATCGTCCTGCAATGGAGCATTTTTATTTGCAGCCTGTCTGTAAGTTGTTATCAATTCAAACTGGTTTCATATTGGCAGGTAAACAATTGAATTCAAATGATCCACAGTTAAAGCGATCAGGCTGCAGAAAGCACGCAGCAGCACTGAGCTCCACTGCGGACTCACTTTTATCACCGACTCCCGACAGAACCTCCAGATTTACAACAATGGCGCCGAAAAACATCTACTGACTTTTTAATTCATTTATTTGCACTTACCCGGCTTCCAAAATTTCATCGTGGAGCGGGGAGCCGCCATGTTGGCTTCTACGTCACTTTTTTTTTTTTTCTTCTGGCGGAGAGATTTCTGAATGATGTCAGGTATGGCAAGCCGATTTACCAGTTAATCGATAAACCCACGCACAGACACGGGAGGAGGGAAGTAATTCATACTTTAACTGCACATATATCTAGTTGTATGGAATGCCATTTATCCTTCTGTAAATAAGACCGTTTACGTCATTTTTCCGCAAAAATATATGTAAAAAATGAATGTTGAAAAAATGACGAAGCAAGCTGCAAAAGCAAAAAAACAAGCATAAATAACTTAAAAAGGATTAATTTATCATTATTAAGTTCCATATTACCTTTATTTGTTGTGCTTTCAACAATATTGAAGCAATATTCTCTCCATGATAAATAATTTAGTTTATCCCATACTCTGTTTTAAACACACATAAA